AAACAGCCACAGTCATCAGTCGTATCTGAGGAACAGATTTTAATGACTATAATGAACAATCCCAAAACCAGGTTTCTTCTGTTCTGAATTGGAACGAAACTGAGAAAGTGGATGCAATGTCCTGTCTAAGCTGTACATCGGTAGATAGACCGTCTTTCCGCCTTCGTACAAGAGCGTCCAGGAAGGGCAGTAATTTGTTCTTCTCATACACGATTGTAGATTTTATCTTTGCTGATGCCTTGCTTATGGCCTTTGGTAGTATTTCCTCATCTGTAGGGCTATTGACTATGGGAAAACTATCATTCACTTATTGTCTGTAGAATGCAGCTGCAAGCTCCGGATGCACGACCGTGACAGTTTCCGCAATTGTGCCGGCTGTACGCACATTTTAGCCGCAGGCTCACAAAGTATCTCGATGGTTTTGTCTAGTGAGACACTTGAAAACAGGCTCCGCACTCCACCTGTCTTCTCAAAAGGTTTCGATCTTTCTGCTCATACGCAACTAAAACGGTGTCCTTGACATTTTAAGCAGCAAGAATGAGTCTAACAAGCTAATTCACGAGCTTATATTTAGGATGAAATTCTTATTGATAAAATTGCTCGTGACAGTACGCCGAATTCCTGCTGCTCTGGTTATCCGTATGGCTTGAAAATATTCGAGCCTATAGGCCTAAGATATGCGACAGTTTTTCATATATTACCTGACTAACAAGTAGAAATTTCACTCTTTTTCCGGAAGGGTCTTCCAACATTTATTTCCTTATTTTTATGCGAGACTCACAAAAACAATTACTGATATTGTTTTATACTGTTTCCATCTCACTTACAGAATCGGTATTATTTGGAATCACAGCCCAGCTCCCTGTGCCGGGTCTCGAGGTAACAATGTCAGTAACCTTGTGCAGGCCATTTTGAGGCAACCGGTTTTGTTTAGTCGACAGTGAGCACTGAGTACAGTAGATGTGCTAACTCATGAAATGTCAACCAAAATTTCGAAATGCGTTCTCGTTTCGAAAAGATTAATTAAGGATGGTTGTAAAACTGATCATCATCCAGCATAAATCTATAATGATCCAGTTACCTCAGGGTGTCGGCTTTCGAAAGAACTGATTTTCGGCTGCATGCAAGATCTATACTCTGCAAAAAATGACTACTTAAATAGTAAACAATTTTCTCATTGATTTTCGATGCCCTTGAAAATTCAGTTATATTTCATGGACAACATGCATAAAAATATTCTTTCTTTTACTTATTCGGTAGAAAATCACGTCTTCTTCCAACTTCATACTCAACAGAAGAGTAAAATTCTGGTTTAAAAAGGTTTTTAATTGTGAGATTTTTTAATACCGTTAAATGGCCGTTCATGAAATGTCATGTATCTGCATTTACGAATGTGGCTTGTAAAGTTAAAAATATTGTTCAAATCCACTGCTTAATTTTATGAACCTCATATAGTCTCCTCTTAACACCGTAGAGAAATGCCTGGTTTTCCGTACACGGAAAATATACAGCTTGTAGTTTTGAAACCCTGAATGCAAGTGTAACAGCAGGTCGGGTTCAAAGTTATTCGGGAATTAGAAAAGATTTTTAAAACCGAATTATACTCTTCTTTTGAGTATAAAATTGGAAGAAAACTTGATTTTCTACCGAACAAGTAGAAGAATGAATATTTTTATGCATGCTTTTCATGAAATATAATTAAGTTTTCAAGGGAATCGAAATTCAATGAGAAAATTGCATGCTACGTATGTAGTCATATTTTGCAGAGTATAGATCTTGCATGCAGCCGAAAATAAGTTCTTTTGAAAGCCGACACCCTGAGGTAACTGGATCATTATAGATTTATGCTGCATGAGGATTAGTTTTACAACACTACTTAATTTATCTTTTCGAAACGAGAACGCATTTCGAAATTTTTGGTTGACATTTTATGAGTTAGCCCATCTACTGTAAATGGGGACGTTCGTGCCAACGATTTTTGCTGTTAGCCATCACATTTTGCATTTCGACTTTGTTGGAAAGAATCCTTTAGTCTTTTTCTTAATGATATGGGGAAACAAATGCAGACAATTATTCCAACGATTCACCACCAGATATATGGCTTAAATATAAATTACACTGGGCAACCTTTTTTCGTGTTTTGAGGAAAAACACCCTTCCTTCAGAAATTGTCCCTCAGTAAGACATTTAGTCTTCGAAAACCTTCCAGAAATCTGCGTTATGAACTAGACGAATTAGAATGTGAAATTTGGATTTGTCCAAACTTTTTTGCCTGCCGATTATTTAACTAAAGCATTATGGTCAAAGATATATTGTCGAGCAAGACATTTAAATGGGTTTTTATATCTCACCTTTCAAATGGGGTAACTAATTAAAACAACAAGGAATAAAAAATAGCAGTATAACGTCATGCATCCTTTTGCAGCAATGCACTGGTGAGTCTGTTGATCATAAGACAGCTACATTAGTTATAAAATAGTCATTGCAGTCAATAAACACGAAGTCAGGCTTCCTTCCTATTGAAGGTTTCGTTTCTGTCCAGCGTGGGCGTGTTTAAGAAAAGAATCTTGTCTGAGCTATAGTTTTATATGAATAAAACTTGAAAGTCGGAGGCGGAGAGGCTGGATATTGTTTGAAAAGCCAGCGTGCAGTCAGGAACGCTAATAAAAGCACGGTTGTCTGAACAATTTCTGCGCAAGCATTCACTTAAAAATGACATTCAGCACTAACAAACGCTAACAAATATAATGCTGCAGATATCGGGCTACGTCATTTGGCTGAATAATTATAAACTTCAGCTGCGAATTTTCAGGTGTTTACACCAAAGATTATCTGGCGCTAACTCCAGTATGTATTCTGGCAAAAATCCCCTTTGAACTGTATAATATCGCGCTTGTGTTGTCTTATTAAATCCACTGAAAATTCTCTTATATTTTTTCATAAACGTGTGAGCCAGAATTTTCTTATTCGAAATAAACCAGAACTTACACCAAGACTCGCTTGCCTTTGCGTAATACAAGAACGGACAACCGGACATTATCTAGTGGCGCGTAGTAGTCCGTCAAAACCGCGTCAAGATGTTTCATTAAAGATTTTTGGAGAGAAAGACAACAGGCGTGTTAATAATGGTGCAGATTAGTTTACATAAACTTGCCGTAATTACATGCAGAATTCTTCTGGTGGAAATAAAGCACATGTACACTTAGAACTGACCTTTCAATTCTTCTGAGTTTTTTGCACTGAAAAACTAGCCTGGGAATATTCGGCAGAATGGTTGGAGCATTTTTGTAAAAAACAAAATGTTGCTTCGCTTGCGTGTACTAGCAGTGTGCTTCTTATATTTAAATTACTCCAATACCTTTCAAGGCTCTGTAAAACAAATTAACAAAGATAAAAAAACTAAGAGTTTCTGGTAGGCGATTTTTAGTCATGAAAATCCGGTAATCAGTTTGTCGTAAAAAATAACTATACTTTTTTCCCGCCTAGTTAACTCATTAATGATCAGATTAAAGCACAGCCATTTTGTTTGGCGATGTTACGGGATCCCTAGATGAGGATATTGCAAGTAGAAAGTCAAAATCACCAAAAACCTCATTCAGTAGCCAACTTGGCTTGCAAATTCTGTCGCACGTACATAACGGAAATCTTGTTCTATATGATTAAAGAATATCAATTTTGGCAAATTGGAAGTAAAAGTTAACTTTTGAAACCGGTTTGGTGGTTCCGACATGCCCCTTTCCGATGATGCCATGTTGTATTACTAGCTTTAAGGATTAAGTTAAAACATAGGATACCCCAGATATTTAGAGACCACTGTCCAGGAATTGAACTAAGTGCTGAGTGTTGGCAGTTTGGTAACTATTCACAGACTGCGTATTGTCAAATCGCATTTTCAAAGTCTGAAAATTTTTTAAATACTTATCGTTCAGCATCCTTTCACAAAGGTTTTCATTACCCGTTCAACTTCGACCTGAATGCACTTACAGTCATTTTTATTATTTCCGTCAATCAGGACGCATTCCCCGTAGTATTTAAGCACTTTATCCATCGAAAGCAAAGCTCGTTACCTATCCGTCTTCAAAGGTCTAGATGTAGTATGAAGCGCCGTCGCAAATTGACTGCTCTCAGATGCCAGGCCACAGTATCACGACATCCAGGTGTTTTCCATTTTAATCCTTCTTAAATTCATGAAATGACTGCAAAGATTACGGGTAGTACTGCTATAAACTTCCTTGTCTTATATATAATGGTAACAGCAAATATGGTTCTTAAAATAACTTCTGAACGTTATATGGGCTCAGAGATGAAACAGGAGGATAATGTTCAAAAAAAGCGTCAAACTACCTTAACTCTTTATATTACTTCTATTTAGTTCAGCAAAAATAGTCTGCTTACTTCCAAAATGTAAACTATTGCTGCTTGAACTTTTGCCTTTGTTGCTAAATGTGCCACATAGAAACTTGATTTTGTTACTTCACCTTGCTGAAGACTCCGGAACAAAAAGTATTACTCTGGAAAGCATGGTGTCCAGACATTTTGGCAATTTTAGCGCTAATTACGTTTGCAAACCATTAAAATCTCTGCAGTCTCCCTGTTTAAAACTCGAAACTTCAGTATTCCTGGCCCTTATTACGTGCGAGTTAATTCGTTCAAAGCCTAGTCAATTGGAGATATGTGGACGACCTTTTAAACGTTTTGTTGGAAAGCTCTTTGTGTTTGCCAGCAAGATTTATATCTATGAAAGCAGAGTACAGAGAAGTCGTATTTTATGTCGGAAGGCGAATGATTCCAGGCCAGCAACAGGCAATGTTAGGCAATCATTCGTTACAGCTCAATGCCTTAGCAGTCCTTGAGGGCACAACATCTGCGAAGGAAAATAAAATAACAGTAGGCTATAAACATCGGTACAGTTTGAGGAACGAGTTTGGCCAGTAAGGACATGATTCAGTAGCATTTTAGCGAAGTCCCCTGGGATGTTACAGCCGGCAGGGTGTGTTGAATTAATCAGGCTCCTCAGTTTGTTTGACAATGACCAGATAATAAAGCCAGTAAAACATATTGTACATTACGTAACAGAGTGGAAAGATGAAACGACTATAGCTGTCGATCTCCGACTCCGGCGGTTCACGGCCTCCCTTGGTAGTTTTCGCCGTCGTCGTCGTCGCCGCCTTCTTTTTCTTCTCTTGCTCGCTGTTTATGCACAGAAAGGACTCCACCTCGGTGTAGAAATCCGCCTGCCCCCTGGACGCATCGGCGCCCTTGGCTGCGTGCTGCTGACAGGCAGCCGACCAACGGACGAGTTCCTCACGCACAATCTGACGCACATCCATCCGCCAGATGGCTTTCCGCTTTCGTCGCAGCATTGTGATGGCAAACGCGTACTCCACAAGTACACAGATGACAAAGATGATGGAAAATATCAGCCAGAGATCGAGAGCCTTTATGTAGGAGACCCTGGGCAGACTAGTTGTCATGGAGGAGGCCTGAGTAAGAAGACCAAGGAGACTGAGCAGACCCAGAGGAACACGAGCCGGCGCGGCGTCCACGTTCACCCAAAAGCTCAAAAAGGAGACCATGATAATGAGGATATTGGGGATGTAAGTTGTGACAAGGTAGGAGCCCAGTTGTCGTTGAAGTGTAAACTTGGCTAGCAGGCAGGTGTAGGCGCCGGTAGAGGTATTGGCAACCGAGGTGCAGTCAAGTGTTGTAAAATTTTTAGGCGTGTTAAATTCGGAGATCTGTAGCTTCTCCGGCAGCTCCACCGCGGCAGTTTCACGCCAAACAAACTTTAGCTCACTTAGCGTGTATCCGTAACTGCCGATATTGATGTCACATCTTTGGGTGTCCATGGGAAAGGTTTGCAGATCCATTTGACATGCAAATCGCATAGTAATCTTCTGGCTATAGAGGACAGATCCGTCGGGATAGACGCGCAGAAGGTAATTTGGAAGGGTCATTTTGTGTAGGTAACCGTCCTTGCCGTTTCGGAAGAAAAGATCCGGAAGCCAGAGCATCTCCTTCAGTCTGGGTGCGACCAGAGGCTGAGTGTAGTTTCTAAAGCCCGCCGTGGTGTTCCAGGATAGGCGAGGGTCTATCCAGGTTTGTCGAAGCAGGGCGTCCAGGTAGTAATCCATAGTTCTTACATCGACCGAAAAGATAGCCAAAACCTTCATGTTTACCTTCACCACAGTCGGGGTTTCCAGCATCTCCGTGGGTCGCTCGTGGGTCTTGTAGTTCGAAAACAGCTCCTCAAGCAGTAGATCTCTCTGCGTTTTTGGTCTTTTCTGCTTTAGATGTGCACTCTCCGCCAGATCCTCTCCAGCATTTTCAAGCGCTGCAGCAGGTAACTCCATCTCTTCGCTCCCGGGATACTCATAGGACTTTCCGGACTCTCTGGACTCGTGTACGTTGTATTCGCTAGGCAGACTCTCCTCGTAGCCAACACTCGAAATAGTAACTCCGCCATCTTCCTCTCCGCCTCCTCCTTGTCTAAAGTAGTTTGGTGTAGGCGCGGACTGAACACTTCTTCTGCGATCGTCCAGAACCGGTTGCTTTACAGAGTATCGACTGCAGTGGCTGTTCAGTGGAAAATGCAGATTTAGAAGTAGGATGAGGAGAGTGATGTAGTGAGACAGTTTATGACTGCGAACGGGGGCAAAAAGACTCATTCCGTGGCTGTAAGGCGACTCTTCCCTCTCAGATCTTCTCAGTTGCTTACCATTGCCAGGTATCACCTTCCAGGTGGTGGAAAATGCCGCGGTCGAGTCGGCAAGATGTGCCGTACACGCTTACGCGAGAACAGCACTGCCTTGACAGGTCTGTGTGTGAGTGTGTCCGTCCGCGTTCTCTTTCCCTCTCTCCCTCTGCCTCTGGCAACCATGTCTGTCCGTATACCTACTTTCGTCTGGTAAGCGCTACTCAGGCTCGCAAGACTGACAACCGCAAGCCAACGAAAGCATGCGCACTGCAATTTCGAGCCTGCTGTTAGAGAAAGACAATCGTGAGAAATAGAGGAGGTAGGCACCCCGTTACGCAAGATAAACACGCCTGTGTGCATGCTCTCGTGGTAACAGGGAGCTGGGTGGTAGAAATTGTGGATAAATCACGGAGTGGGTGACGGGAGAGGGTAGTGGAGTGCGGCACAACAACCCACAGCAGCCCCGTTTACGCCTGGGATACGTTCACACACACGCACACACACACACACGAGTGAATCAAGATCACCTGAGTCACACGTTTCACTAAGGCTACCTTTCTC